TTTTTTTTTTTCAGGTTTTCTAGCTGACTTATCTGGATCATATTCTCTCACGTTCTATGTGACAGGAGCATTTCACATCTTGGCTGGTTGTATTTTGTTCTTGTCCTGCTATGTTACAAGTCCCAATGTCGCCCAAGAGAACTCTAAAAAACTTTCACGACAAGAACAATTTCTAATTGTTGACGTTGTCACGGTACTATGATTGTTTGTACTGAAAATGAAGCTCTAACCGGAGAGAGAATCCTTTAGTAAAAAAAGCCTAACTCAAAATATGCTATAATAAATATTTTCTCAGATTTATTATTTCATAAAAGAGAACTCAATATACAGTTCTATAATTTGAAATATGGGTCTGGTCGGCTTTGAGAAAAAAGTGGATGATGACTTTATCGTGATTTCATCGTGACGTCAGTTAGCACTCATCATAAGCTCATGCCCGCCCATCTAGATCCGAGAGAGGTTGCAAACGCACCGAGCTGTCTATCAGCTGGGCAGAAGTTTATTTCTAGGGATCAGTCAGATGTGACCATCATACCCAACATTCCAAACCGACATTCCAAATTCCAATTCGATCTGGAAACAGTGGACAAGAAGAGCCACCCAGTGGAATGTCCATTGCTAAATTATTATTTAGTATTATTTATTATTCACCCTATCTTTGTCTTCAAAACTTCTTGTGTGAGATAGTGATTCTTTTCAAATGAACTCCCCTTTGTTTATTATCCAAAAATCTCTCAAGGGTAGTACAAGACAGGACAAGCCCATTTTTAATTATAGCCCCATCATTCAGGCCTTGTTGACTGTGAGCTCATGGAGAATCACATTTATTGCCATGGCAGGGATGTTGTGCGTGAGTTGCATTTTGTCTTGTACATTCGACTCAAAGATAGGTGACAACGACAAAGAGGGTACTGACCAAGACAACAGGCCGACTAAGTTGTGCTCGACGTTAGATTTTTCATACCTGAGAAATAAGCAATTTGTCATCTACCTGATTGGAAGTACTACGTGTTTCTGCGGAATTACTGTTCCTTTGGTTCACATGGTAAGTTGATGTTAAACATGAAGTGGGTTACTTTATCACTACGCTACTACACGATGAACTTGTATTCCGACTGGAGGAATGGCAATTTCGCGCAATCTCTCTATTCACAGAGACCAGGATAATCCTTGGAATTAAGGGCGTCATATTCACACACTGATTTGTTCAATCCTCCCTAAATGTACCTTCTTGCACGAGTCTATGCCAAAAGAAATCTGAATTTTGAAGCGTTATCATCATATCACGGACAAGTTGAATTGAAGGCCTTTTTATATATATCTGTATTTACTGTATATGTATCTGTAACGTAAAACCCAAATTGCTTTATGCAAGTAGGCGTCTATTAATTTTGAAACATTTTCGCTAGTCAATCGATTATTCCAAAAATGTTACGACTGATAAACCAATGTATTCGCGAAGAAAGTGTTTATCATTACATTGGCCACGTATTTGCTTGTTACTCTGCTAATTCCGGCAGTGGTGCCGGATCTGTGAAGTGCTAAAACAAACGTCTAATCAAAGGAAGAGTATAAGCCAACAGCCTTAAAGAGCCTCCTGTTAGCTTTTNCGTACACTATTGAGTTATGGATGCACTTGGGAGGTTTGCTAAGCACTCAAGAAGCTAGAGTCGCTCTCAGCTATCGCCTCGAGCGACTCTTACGCTTCTTTCGTGCTTAGCAACCTCCCGCGTGCATCCATAACTCAATAGTGTACGCTGTGGTGTTTACCATTTGTTAATTGTCAAAAGTTTACCCCGTCTCTTATCTTAATCGGCCATCATTGGCAGATGTCGAATATTTAGGAAAAGTGATACCTCAGTTAAGCAATAGATCTCTCTTTTATCGGCGTAAAAACGCACGCGGAATGTTGGGAAAGCACGAAAAAAGTATGTAGATCACGTGTAAATCATGAGTCGGAGTTCGATAGACCGATAAAAAGTGCGGTCTACTACTTTTGTACAAAAAGCAGTATGTTTCGACAATCAGTGGGTTTACCAATGCAATAAACGATAGGTTTTTTAACCGATCAGGGTACTCGTAGAATTTCAGTTATTAGGGAGTTTTAGATCCACTTTGTTTTCGAATACGTGACTACAAACCGCCAGCGGTCACTCTCGACGTTTTTGATCCACGGTTGAACTTCGGGCAAGGCAGTTTCAGCTAGATGAGAATAAGTCTTTTCTGTTTTAACCTATCCATTTGGGACGCTAGAATACCAAACTTTTAGCCTCATTTTGTGTTTGAAAAGTTGGACCTCCATCCTGTGTGGAATTCAAGATGGCGGCACACGTGTTGATTTTTCTCATGTGAAGGCTGACTTCGATCTAATAAAAGGCTGAACATTTCGAAACTTCTCATTTCTAACATCAAACTGCCAACCACGGTTTGACGTTTGTGGTTAATACACCAAACGCAAATCTAAAAATCTTTATCTTGTAATTCGCATCAGACTCACACAAATAATTTTAGTCATGACTGAACTTTAAGTGGTCATGTCTTAGTACAATGTGAGAAGCAACGTACACATTTCCTGAGAATTATCGATTTTCTTAGGAAAAAACATTTTGCATTGACAACGTGACCCTGGAGAAGCATGTACTGTTCGATATGAAAATAACTCACGCCTAATTACTCAACCATAGATACATGTTGAATCTATAACAGAATTGTTGAAACACACGGCATAAGTACCAAACCATTGATTCGATTAGCTCAGTGAAGCGATTGACTTTGCCAGAGTCTGGAGAAACATACACGGGGTACCTCTAAATTCAGAAACGGCCGGTTTCAAGAATCCACAAAGGTTAGTTGACCAATGTATGAAATAATAAATCGATAGTCCTCGACGACTACACTCGCATCCCGTGACTATGAGTTTTCGTACATCGCGCAATAATCTGCGTAGGGAAACTGCAATCGCAAATATTCGCGATCCGTCTAAAAAAACTTATATTTGTATCAGAGTCTAAATAACCGTATCAAATGAGGCAGCAACTAAAAACTTTTCCGTTATTTTTACACAAGCATCCTGTTAATAGCCATCAGTACCATAATGTCTTTTTGATCGACGTGAACGTGACAAGACAGGTACTGAACGAAATGAAACTTCGAACCAAAAGTACGAACGCATCTACAAATCAAAGCGTTCTAAAAGACAAATCCATTAAAAGAAAATGAAAAGAACGAACTT